TCTGAAGGAGGGGTGTTTAATGTTGCAGTTTAAAAACTGTAGTGTAAAGCACCCTTCTGGCAAGACAGTGATGGAGTGAATGATGGTGAAAGTTTTTCTTTTTCGGGCCACCCTGCCTTGGTGGGAATCGGCCGGTGTGATAAAAAAAAAAAAAAAAAAAAAAAAAAAAAGAGTATGGAAGAAGTGAATGTTTTCAGATACTTGGGAGTTGACGTTGTCGGCGGATGGATTTATGAAGGATGAGGTTAATCACAGAAACTGATGAGGGAAAAAAGGTGAGTGGAGGTTGAGGTATATGTGGAGTCCAAAAACGTTATCTATGGAGGCAAAGAAGGGAATGTATGAAAGTATAGTAGTACCAACACTCTTATATGGGTGTGAAGCTTGGGTGGTAAATGCAGCAGCGAGGAGACGGTTGGAGGCAGTGGAGATGTCCTGTTTAAGAGCAATGTGTGGTGTAAATATTATGCAGAAAATTCGGAAGTGTGGAAATTAGGAAAAGGTGTGGAGTTAATAAAAGTATTAGTCAGAGGGCAGAAGAGGGGTTGTTGAGGTGGTTTGGTCATTTAGAGAGAATGGATCAAAGTAGAATGACATGGAAAGCATATAAATCTATAGGGAAGGAAGGCGGGTAGGGGTCGTCCTCGAAAGGGTTGGAGAGAGGGGGTAAAGGAGGTTTTGTGGGCAAGGGGCTTGGATTTCCAGCAAGCGTGCATGAGCGTGTTAGATAGGAGTGAATGGAGACGAATGGTACTTGGGACCTGACGATCTGTTGGAGTGTGAGCAGGGTAATATTTAGTGAAGGGATTCAGGGAAACCAGTTATTTTCATATAGTCGGACTTGAGTCCTGGAAATGGGAAGTACAATGCCTGCACTTTAAAGGAGGGGTTTGGGATATTGGCAGTTTGGAGGGATATGTTGTGTATCTTTATGTGTGTATGCTTCTAAACTGTTGTATTCTGAGCACCTCTGCAAAAACAGTGATAATGTGCGAGTGTGGTGAAAGTGTTGAATGATGATGAAAGTATTTTCTTTTTGGGGATTTTCTTTCTTTTTTGGGTCACCCTGCCTCGGTGGGAGACGGCCGACTTGTTGAAAAAAAAAAAAAAAAAGTTTTGTACTACCCCACTATTATCAACCTAATTAATGATAATCACTTCAATTACTTAACTTTTACATCAATATGCAATAATTATATTAAAATGTACTGCTCCATAACCTGTGCCAATATAGAGTAAGAATTATAATTAGCCTGCCTGAAATACCTTGGCATGCTAGTGGCCTTCTTTGTAATTAATATTTTATAATATGTAAGCCATACATTGTAAGCTTTGCAAGGAAATAAGCATCTTCATTTTCATGGGGTACAATGAGAATAGTATCAAAAAGTAAGGTGGCGCATTTGGCTCACCATAGGAAAGACCCACGATTAATCCAAGAACATGGTAAATGCCTTCATAGCACTGTTAGGAAGAATGTCACAAGGAGATGCTGTGAAATAGTACAAGACAACTAAGACAAGTTTGCAGCAACATTTCAATGGAAGGTTCAAATCACAAGAAAAAAAATTGGAAGAAAAACAGCTCTCCTTTGAAATGAAGAAATGGCAAGAGCTGTAAATGTAACTTTTATAGATGATTTGGGAATGACTTTCAATGCCAACAAGTTAAAAAGCTTTAAGATTACATGGACAGCAATCAGCGAGTTATATTAGAGTCTATCAATAATCTTCCAGGCATATCAATATTAATTTCTTTATAGCAAATGTTAATATGTAGAACCAGTACTTAATGTGTCCAAGTTTTTGATAATGTTTCATATGAGGTATGGCCACAATTGTCTCATCTGAAAGAGTAAGGTTTCAAATGCCCCACCCCAGGAGCAACTGAGAACATTTTTTTAGTGGAGGGGAGGATTATTCTAGGAAAATAACCGTGTAGCCTAAGAAAGTAAAATTTGGTCAGTTTGCACATTCATGATCCCTTTATATTATTCTCTAAATTAACCCTTTCAGTGTCCAAGGCCCAAATCTGAAGTGGTGCCCCAGTGTCCAAGAATTTTCAAAAAAAAAATTTGTTATTTTTTCTTATGAAATGGTAGAGAATCTTTTTGTGAAGGTAATAAAACAAAAAGTACGAAATTTGGTGGAAATTTGACGAAATTATGCTCTTGCGAATTTTGACGTGTCAGCGATATTTACGAATCGGCGATTTTGCCAACTTTGACTCCCATTTTAGGCCAATTACATTATTCCAATCAACCAAATTCTTAGCTATTTCACTAGTATTACTTCTATTCTATCGATTGAGCACAAGAAATCACCAAGTCAACTGTTTCAACTACAAAATAAAGTGATCGGAAATTGTTAATTTGGCCAATTTAACACAAAGTTCAAAATATTCTAATTTCAAAATAGGGTCCAGAATAAACAATGTAGGTATTCCTGGAACTAAACTAACATTTCCTCTGTTCATTAGTTACGTTTTGAGGCTTTACAAATAAATTCCATTTTGATTTTTTATTCACATAATGAATTTTTATTCACACCAAAAAATAGAAGATTTACTGTTATGCAATACTGTAATAATTGTATAAATATCATCAACATATTTGTGAATGTATATTAGACCCACCAGCTGGTGTGTATTAGATGTGTGAGGTCATTTGTTTACTCTTGAATATCGGCAAAAATTTAACATTTCCGCTACTTTGAGCTCAGTTTCAAGCTCATTTCCAGTGCTAAAACCAATCAAAATCATCTCTATTTCTTTAATATGTCTTCCATTCTATCAAATGAGACCAAGAAATCGCAAATACAACTATAAAAAACATACGAAAAAACACTGCAAAGTTGCTGTTTTAATCGAAAAATCATGATTTCAGTTTTTTTTCTCTCATTATACACAGTGTGCTGCAGGATCTGTTTTATGTGGTGCACACATACCACATAGATGTATTCTCTCATATCTAGGCCCAAATGTACCACTCACAGTTTATCAGAGTGAGCTGAGCTCATGACGTAGATCTACGGTTTGGACCCTGAACGTAAAGCCGTAGATCTACGGGACGGACCATGAAAGGGTTAAATATCTGAACAGAATAAACTAAACTTTTATTTATGTCACCTCCCCTTTCCTTGATGATACCAGTAAAGAGGTGTCTGGGTGTTAGTCAACTGTTGTGGGTTGCATCCTAGGAAAGAGAATCAAAGAATTACACTGAAAATAAGCCCCACTTATTGCCTTATTTGGATTACATTGGGAGTGTGAGCAAAGCAACATTTATGAAGAGACTGTGGGAAACCGGCTAGCTGGACTCGAGTCCTGGAGGTGGGAGGTACACTGTCTGCACTCCGAAGAAGGGGTGTTGATATGCTGCAGTTTTTTAAATGTAGCATAGGTGCACCTCTGGCAGGACAGTGATGGAGTGAATGATGATGAAAGTGTTTTCTTTTTTTGGGCTGCCCACGGTCAGTGGGAAATGGCCGACGTGTTAATAAAAAAAATATAAAAGTGAATACAGGAAAGAGTAAGGTTATGAGGATAACAAAAAGATTAGGTGATGAAAGATTGGACATCAGATTGGAGGGAGAGAGTATGGAGGAGGTGAATGTACAGTATTCAGATATTTGGGAGTGGACGTGTCAGCAGATGGGTTTATGAAAGATGAGGTGAATCATAGAATTGATGAGGGGAAAAGGGTGAGTGGTGCACTTAGGAGTCTCTGGAGACAAAGAACTTTGTCCTTGGAGGCAAAGAGGGGAATGTATGAGAGTATAGTTTTACCAACACTCTTATATGGGTGTGAAGCATGGGTGATGAATGTTGCAGCGAGGAGAAGGCTGGAGGCAGTGGAGATGTCATGTCTGAGGGCAATGTGTGGTGTGAATATAATGCAGAGAATTCATAATTTGGAAGTTAGGAGGAGGTGCGGGATTACCAAAACTGTTGTCCAGAGGGCTGAGGAAGGGTTGTTGAGGTGGTTCAGACATGTAGAGAGAATGGAGCGAAACAGAATGACTTCAAGAGTGTATCAGTCTGTAGTGGAAGGAAGGCAGGGTAGGGGTTGGCCTAGGAAAGGTTGGAGGGAGGGGGTAAAGGAGGTTTTGTGTGCGAGGGGCTTGGACTTCCAGCAGGCATGCGTGAGCGTGTTTGATAGGAGTGAATGGAGACAAATGGTTTTTAATACTTGACGTGCTGTTGGAGTGTGGGCAAAGTAACATTTATGAAGGGGGTTCAGGGAAACTGGCAGGCCGGACTTGAGTCCTGGAGATGGGAAGTACAGTGCCTGCACTCTGAAGGAGGGGTGTTAATGTTGCAGTTTAAAAACTGTAGTGTAAAGCACCCTTCTGGCAAGACAGTGATGGAGTGAATGATGGTGAAAGTTTTTCTTTTTCGGGCCACCCTGCCCTGGTGAGAATTGGCCAGTGTGATAATAATAATAAAATAATAAAAAATATATTCCGAGGTAGTAGGTTGGTAGACAGCAACTACCCAGGGTGGTACTACCGTCCTGCTAAATGAGTAAAACAAAAGCCTGTAATTGTTTTACATGATGGTAGGATTGCTGGTGTCTTTTCTGTCTCATAAACATGCAAGATTTCAGGTACGTCTTGCTACTTCTACTTACACTTAAGTCACACTACACATGCATGTACAAGCATATATATACACACCCCTCTGGGTTTTCTTCTATTTTCTTGCTAGTTCTTGTCCCTATTTATTTCCATTTATCTCCATGGGGAAGTGGAACAGAATTCTTCCTCCGTAAGCCATGCGCGTCATAGGAGGTGACTAGAATGCCAGAAGCAAGGGGCTAGTAACCCCTTCTCCTGTATATTTTACTAAATTTCAAAGAAGAAACTTTCATTTTTCCTTTTGGGCCACACCACCTCGGTGGGATGCAGCCAGTGCATTGAAAGAAAGAAAAAATATTTGGATAAAACCCATCTGGGATTATAGTCCAAAGAAAATAATCTTCATATTATAAATAAACCCACCTGAGTTTGGTCATCACACTGTTTATCCTGGTGGTTGTCCTGGGAAAGAACTGGTACAAACTCAATTTGGGCATCTGGCACAGCAGCTGGGGTTGGTTCTATTTGCACCAGGTCTCTCAGTCGCTTTTCAAGTCTGTAAATGACATTGTGTACACATACCAAATGGTATGAGTTGAGAATTAATTTATTATTATTATTATTCTTTCAATAAACTGGCCGTTTACCATCAAGGCAGGGTGGCCCCCAAAAAATAACGAAAGTTTCTTTTTAAATTTGGTAATGTATACAGGAGAAAGGGTTATTAGCCCTTTGCTCCTGGCAGTTTAGCCGCCTCTTACTGCAAGCATGGCCTACAATAATTCAGTCTTATAAAGCAGGTCCCGATTTATGATCATTCAACTTATGATCATCTGACTTATGATCATCCAACTGCGCTTACGATCTGGGCACTTTAGAACCAATTAATTATTCAGGAAAGCAGACTCGCCTATCTGAGCAGTGTGATTACTTACAACCATGGAAACATCACTTCCAGTAATCTTCACAGCATTAACATTTAATGTAAATATTGTGAAGTACTGTAAACTGTATTATAAATTATTAAATTTAATTCACATGTACTAATTAATTAGACATTACTATTACAGTTGATCCCCATTTAACTTACACAGGCACCAAACAAAAAACTCATTCAGTAAAAAATATTGTAAGCAAATAACATTTTTCCACAGGCATCCACATAATAACCCAAGATGCAGACGGACTATAATATTCTCTAGCTACATCCCTTTGTCTTTTTTAAGGGAAATCCATAACTATGCACTGCATTCACGAGGCTGACTTCTCTCTTTACCATTCCCTTCCTCAGTTTTTCTTATACCCATTTTTTCTTCTCCCATATCCTCCATCTCTCCCATTCTCTTCATCTCTCCCATTACCTCATTTCTCTCAGCCAAATGTGGATTCTAGCTAAGAGGCAAGTCACAGAAGGCAATTTCCTCTAGTAATGTCTTTTCCTTGCAATTAATTATCAAAGACAATTGTAGATACAATTCACAACGTAGTAACAACTTCTAATGATGGCATGAAACAGCGAAAAATAAAGGCAATAAGAAAAATATTCCCTATTGTGAAAGTCATCCGCAGCCTCAAGTAAAATGTTCAAACACTTCATACTGTAGATGATCTCAGCAGCAGCATAACTATGGCATCAAACAATTTCACTCACTAACACTACAGATGACTTCAACATATCCATAAAAAGTGTATTTATTATGAAGGCCATGGAGAGGGTGGCTTACCACCCACCTATCTGCCAGAACTTTCCTGTGGTAAGTTCTTTCTCTCTCACAGACAGTATGTAAGTATATAAAGATAGTTTTAGGCATTACAATTAATGTGGTATTAGCTGCTAAAGAAGACATCAGGCAACAAAAATTAGAGCTATTATATTCTGGATGCGACACTCGTTCAAACACTGCTTCGAGACTCTGGCTTCCTCCTAGCAAAACTATAAGATTGAGCAGTTTTATTCTGACAGTACTAGTAGTTTAAGTGTTTCTAGTGAATATAATAATATTCAAACACTGAAACATTTTAATTGTCTGCCCAACATGCACTTGTTCTGGCCAAGGCTGACCAAGTGGTTTAGTGACGGCGAGTGATAGAGTGAACAAATCGCACACCATCACTGCTGCTGTTGTTGCACCCACACCAACTACTTCCCACTACATCCACATTTATTATTATTTTTCTGTTTTCAGTACAATGAATGTATTTATTTGTAGTATATCCTTGCCTGGTGCAGGGGTAGTAGGGTCCAACTTAATTAGTATAATGTGATCAAGAAATGTGAATTTCTATATTATGATTGATCAGAAAAAATGTTCACAATAATTTTTTATTTATTTGTCTAATTGCTTTAGGATAAGTTATAGCAATGTATGGTACAAAAATATTCACTCTGATATGTCTATCTGAGGGCAATATGTGGTGTGAACATAATGCAAAGAATTTGTAGTTTGGAAATTAGGAGGTGCAGGATTACCATAACTATTATCCAGAGGGCTGAGGAGGGGTTGTTGAAGTGGTTCAGACATGTAGAGAGGGTGGAACAAAACAGAATGACTTCGAGAGAGTATAAATCTATAGTGGAGGGAAGGCGGGTAGGGGTCAGCCTAGGAAAGGTTGGACGGAGGGGGTAAAGGTTTTTTGTGCGAAGGGCTTGGACTTCCAGCAAACATGCAAACATGCGTGAGTGTGTTAGATAGGAGCAAATGGAGACAAATGGTTTTTAGGATTTGATGTGCTGTTGGAGTGTGAGCAAGGTAATATTTATGTAGGGATTGAGGGAAACCAGCAGGCCAGATTTGAGTCCTGGAGATGGGAAGTACAGTGCCTGGAATCTGAAGGAAGGGTGTTAATGTTGCAGTTTTATAACTGTAGTGTAAGTGCACCTCTGACAAGACAGTGATGGAGTGGATGATGGTGAAAGTTTTTCTTTTTCGGGCTGCCCTACCCTGGTGGGAAATGGCCAATGTGTTAATAAAAATAAATAAAATAATGACTAACTGAATTAACAGCAGGTATAATAACATGCCATTACTTGTTAATGGTTGCCCCCGGAAATGATTTTATGTGAACACAAAACTGGTCATTATGTGGGGAGAATTCAGGTTTTGGTTAGTTATTTTAAAGAAACTGCATTAAGTGGGGGCTGACTGTACTGAATTTAAAACACTGGATAAAAACTCTTAGTTGAAAAATAAATGAAATAAGATATGCAACATCGTTATTCAGAAACACATTTCATATTATAACATGAGTGTATATGGGAAAATAGGTTTTGAGTTCCAGACTCAAGATGTAAACAATTTTCAGGGATGCATTAGGGTTTTAACCCTTTCAGGGTCCAGACCAGAGGCCAAATTTCGAAGTGTGCACCAGTGTCCAAGAATTTTCAAAAAATAATTTTATTTTTTCTTATGAAATGGTAGAGAATCTACCATTTCATAAGAGTACGAAATTTGATGGAAAATCGACGAAATTATGCTCTTGCAAATTTTGATGTGTCAGCGATATTTACGCATCGGCGATTTTGCCAACTTTGACTCTTTTAGGCCAATTACATTATACCAGTCGACCAAATTCTTAGCTATTTCACTAGTATTACTTCTATCCTATCGAGTGAGCACAAGAAATCGCAATGTCAACTGTTTCAACTACAAAATAAAGTGATTGGAAATTGGTAATTTGGCCAATTTAATGCAAAGTTCAAAATATTTCAATTTCAAAAGGGTCCAGAATAAACAATGCAGGCATTCCAAGCACTAAACTAACATTTCCTCTGTTCATTAGTTACGTTTTCAGGCTTTACAAATGAATTCCATTTTTATTTTTTACTCACATAATGAATTTTCATTCAAACCAAAAAATAGAAGATTTACTGTTATGCAATATTGTAATAATTGTATAAAAAATATCACCACATTTGTGAACATATTTTAGACCCAGCAGCAGGTGTGTATTAGACGTGTGAGGTCATTTGCTTACTCTTGAACATTGGCAAAAATTTAACATTTCCGCTACTTTGAGCTCAGTTTCAAGCCATTTCCAGTACTAAAACCAATCAAAATCATCTCTATTTCTGTGATATATCTTGCATTCTATCAAATGAGACCAAAAAATTGCAAATACAACTATAAAAAACATACAAAAAAACACTGCAAAATCACTGTTTCAATCGAAAATTATGTTCATTTTTTTTCTCATTGTGCACTGTGTACTGCAGAATTTGTTTTATGTGGTGCACACATACCACATAGATGTATTCTCTCATATCTAGGCCAAAATTTACCGCTCACAGCTTATCAGAGTGAGCTGAGCTCATGGCGTAGATCTACGGTTTGGACCCTCAACGTAAAGTCGTAGATCTACAGCACGGACCCTGAAAGGGTTAAGATTGGGATGAATTGCATTAGGAATTAAAAATTTCCTTGATGTTAGTATCCAGGTGAACTGTAAATTTTGCACATTCAATTCACACAGTCAATAGGATTTAAACCTGCCACTTTAGCTTGCTAACTAGGGAAGTGGAACAGAATTTTTCCTCTGAGCCATGCGTGTCATAAGAAGTGACTAAAATGTGGGGAGAAAGGGTCTAGTAACCCCTTCTGTATATACAGTGGACCCCCGCATAACGATTACCTCCGAATGCGACCAATTATGTAAGTGTATTTATGTAAGTGCGTTTGCACGTGTATGTTTGGGGGTCTGAAATGGACTAATCTACTTCACAATATTTCTTATGGGAAAAAATTCGGTCAGTACTGGCACCTGAACATACTTCTGGAGTGAAAAAATATCATTAACCGGGGGTCCACTGTATTACTAAATTTAACCCTTTGAGGGTTTTCGTCGTACTAGTACGTCTTACGCGTAGGGGTTTTTGACGTACTAGTACTCATAAATTCTAGCGGCCTCAAATCTAGTGGGAGAAAGCTGGTAGGCCTTCATATGAAAGAATGGGTCTATGTGGTCAGTGTGCACAGTCTAAAAAAAATCCTGCAGCACACAGTGCATAATGAGAAAAAAAAAACTTTTACCATTTTTTTTTAATAAATCAGCGACTTTGCAGTGTATTTTCGTATGGTATTTATTGTTGTATTCTAGTTTTCTTGGTCTCATTTTATAGAATGGAAGACATATTACTGAAATTGAGATGATTTTGACTGGTTTTACAACGAAAGGTGCCTTGAAATTGAGCTCAAAGTAGCAGAAATGTTCGATTTTTTACCAAACTTCAAAGTAAACAAATCGTGCCAAGCGTGCAATACACGTCAACTGGTGAGTCTAATATTCTTTCACAAGTGCACCAATAATATTTATACCATTTTTTACACTAATGCAGTAGTCTGCATAACAGTAAATCTTATATTTTTTGTGAGAATAAAAATTCAAAGTGGAAAGCAAAAGAATATAAGAGGGGCCTTGAGACGTGACTAATGACTAGAGGAAATGTCGTTTTAGTGCCAGGAATGTCTTTCTTGTTTATTCTGGACCCTATTTGGAAATTGGCATCTTTTGAAATTTGTGTGAAATTGGCAAAATTGCTAAATTCTGACCACTGTACTGGATAGTTGAATTTATAAATGGGTGGTTTCTTGCACCCATTCGATAGAAAAAATGGAGTTCTAGCGAAATATTCATGTTTTTTGTCGACTAGTACAGTGAAATTGGCCGAAAATGGGGCTCAAAGTGGGCAAAATCGCCGATGCGTAAACATCGCCGAGACCGATAACTTTGCGAGAGCATAATTTCGTAAGTTTTCTATCAAATTTCAAACTTTTGGTGTCGTTATGATCGGGAAAAGATTCTCTATCTTTTCATAAGAGAAAATAATTTTTTTTTTTTTTTTAAATTTGGCCGACCCTGAGAACGAGTTTCGGAGAGGGCCTGTCGACCCTCAAAGGGTTAAAAAGGGAAACTTTCGTTTTTTCTTTTGAGCCACCCTGCCTTGGTGGGATACGGCCAGTTTATTGAAAAGAACTAGGAAAAGCATAATTTCTGTCATAGAATAACTCACACTTTGAGACAAAATTTCACATGAAAATTCAGTCCATCCTTTAAGTTTATAACAGTCCAGGACAGACCAAAACACCATATAAAGTTTTCTATTAAAAGTGTGTGTATATGAATTATTCCAGCTACATCATTGTTACATATTCTTCAACATTTTTAAAAATACGTACATCTTATGTAAAGATACATTTTATAAATGGTACCACGGGTGGGGATAGAACCAGCGGTCAGAGAATCATAAAACTCCACTGACGTGTTAGTTGGCTAACGCATCGGTCTGGAGTTTTATGACTCTCTGATCGTGGGTTGTATCCCCACCCGTGGTATGGTTTGTTTGCAATCATGTGATTACAATTTCGTGAGTCATACATATTATAAAATGATTTTATAAACATTATAATTCAGTCTCTGCAAAAGTCTTCTATACAAACCATTCACCTATCAAGGCAAATTTTCATACAGATCAGAACACTTAATTGTCATCAAGAAATAATATTTAGAGTTTCTTTTCATAATCAATGAATATATGGCATCTTAAGTAAAAGTAGAATGGTAATTCACAATTTGTAAGTACAGCCTCTCCTCACTTAGTGACATACTCATTTACCGATGCCTCGGATTTACGACGGGCTCTCTGACCAGTATACATGCCTAAATAATGTATATTAGAGCTGATTTCTTCTATTCTGTTTATTATAATATACAGTACACTACTGTATAAACATTTAAAAATATACCAGATGTGTTATAAATGGTGCAAAGGTGACATTAAAACAATATCAAAGATAGGTGACACAAACCCACTACCATTATAGCATGCTCCTCACTTAGCGACAAATTCATTTACTGACATGGTCTTAGGAACGGAACTCCATCGTTAAGTGGGGAAAGGCTGTATAATATTTAAATATCAAAGACTATAAAAGGCTTTACTCTTACCTCTGTAAAATTCTTAACTTGAGATCATACTGACACAATCTATCTTCCGCTTCATATAACACTTTTTGTATATTTTCATCATTTTCATCCCTGCATTCTTCTACAACCACCTCTTTCCACTTCACTTTTGGCAAACTTTCTATTTCATTGTCACTGCTTCTGTTGTCATCATCAACACCAAAGTTGTTACTTAGCCCTTGCTGTCTGTTATGCTTGTCTTTCTCATTATAATCTATAACATATACAATATCTGGTTTATTGTTGTTTGTTTCTTCTACCAGTGGTGTTTGATCATTGTGTAACTGATGGTCCTCTTCCCCATTGGTTTTCACTTGAAGTACATATGCAACATTAGATAATGATCTTTCAACATCTGCATTGCTGTTACTAAATATCATTTGAGATGCTTCATCATTTAACTCTTTATTGTACTTGTCACTGTTGTCAGGTTGATTATCTTCAGTTTGACTACTAATTCTTAATGATAAGGGATCCTCTTTCATGCTTTCATGAATCACCTCAATAATCATATTTTTGTCCTGTGACTGCCTAACAGGAAGGTCACGTGGAGTTATTGATATACCTGGAAGCAATAATGTTGTATTCTCTCTTGGAATGTTCACACTTGCTTGAGAAGATATTTTAAGTTTAAGTTTTAAGTCTTGCATCCTCCTGTTTGTTTTTGATACATCAGAAACTCCTTTTAATTCTTCAGCTCCATCATTTCTTGGTGTATCGGGATGAGGATGTGTTGAAATATCTTTCATTTTTTCTTCAGTATTATTAGATGTCTGTTCTTTTATTAGATTGGTAGTTTGAACTCCTATATTTTTATTGTGTCTTCTTTTATTCTTATGTATTTTTTTACCTTTAAATACATAGCCTTGAAGAGGCTCTAATGGATCACTTGGTCTTTGTGTATTAAGTGATGGCATGAAAAGTGGTGGTGGACGAGTTACAGGGTGGGGTAGAGGCTGCTTTGAAAAGTAAGACACAGGCTGTGCTTGGGGAGGGATCTGTGGTTTATCAGGTTTTGGGTCTTGGTCACACTGAGAGGGAGCAGCAGACATGTAAGGCTTAGCTTCATGGTCACATGGCCCAATGGAACACCGGCTGACTGGTGGCACATTGCATGATGTTGATGGTACACGTTTTCCTTCCTTATCGTTTATCTGCAAGTATATGCAATTATTTGGTGAACATACCAAATCTCTTCCAATACATATTATTTAGAGGGCAAACTTTCACACTGCTTCAGCCAAGAAATCAATGGATAGAATGACAATACTGTTATATTACAATTATAAGTTTCAAGTTAAGTTACACAGTTAAGTGCATAAAATGATGCCCATAAGTCTTGATGTAGAAGATCAAACCAGAATATAAAAGTACTGTAGAAAAAATTAAATTTAAAAAAAAAATATATGACAATGAATACTGTCATGCATTTTTTGTATGACAATGAATATTGACATACATTCTGAAGATTAAAAAAATTAATCTTCAAAATGTATAACAATATTTATTGAAGTACAAAATTATCAAATATTTATTGAAGTACAAAATTATCAAAGAAAAGTGTACATGGGGAATTTACTAAAAGAGAGTTGAAATTAATACAAGTTATTAACCCTTAAACTGTCCAAGCAGATCTACGTTCACATGCGTAGTGCTCCAAAAGTAGATCTACGTTTTTTTTAACATATTTTCAAATGTAAAAAAAAAAGATACTTTTTTTACATACTTTCAAATGTTGAAAAACGTATATATACGTTTGGACCGTTTATGGATTAATTGGAGGGAGAAAGTATGGAGGAGGTGAATATATTCAGATATTTAGGAGTGGACGAGTCAGCAGATGGGTCTCATGAAAGAGGAGGTGAATCATAGAACTGATGAAGGAAAAAAGGTGGGTGGTGCACTTAGGAGTTTGTGGAGACAAAGAACTTTGTCCATGAAAGCAAAGAGGGGAATGTATGACAGTATAGTTATACCAATGCTCTAATATGGGTGTGAAACATGGGTGGTGAATGTTGCAACAAGGAGAAGGCTGGAGGCAGTGGATATGTCATGTCTGAGGGCAATGTGTGATGTGAATACAATGCAGAGAATTGGAAATTAGGAGGTGGTGTGGGATTACCAAAACTATTATCCAGAGGGCTGAGGAGGGATTGTTGAGGTGGTTCGGACATGTAGAGAGATTGGAAGGAAATAGAATGACTTCGAGAGTGTATAAAATCTGTAGTGGAGGGAAGGCAGGGTAGAGGTCAGCCTAGGAAAAGTTGGAAGGAAGGGGTATAGGAGGCTGTGTGTACAAGGGGCTTGAACTTTCAGCAAGCATGCATGAGCGTGTTAGATAGGAGCGAATGGAGACAAATGGTTTTTAGGACTTGAAGTGCTGTTGGAGTGTGAACAAAGTAACATTTATGAAGGGATTCAGGGAAACTAACAGGCCAGACTTTAGTGCTGGAGATGGGAAGTACTGTGGAGAAAATTTCTCCAGAAAGGGGGGGGGTATCAGCCCCTTCAGCCTCTTACAGCCCCCGAGGGACCCAGCCCTCTCAGAGGGAGCAAATGGTGTTGCTTCCGCATGAACAGTAAATGGAAGCAGATGAAGTAATAGCCTTTACCAAAGTTGGGTCATGTAGCCTACTTTTGCACTACTGTGTTCATTGCAACTGAGTGATAAGGAAGTGCAGAAAGTGACTTACCATAGCAAGAACATTTATAAGAAAACCCTGCATCACTTTATTTCCAAGCTGAGGCTATCGTAAAACACTGGACAAGTCTAGAGATCAAGAAATCTGCTATTTTGTATTGCATACTGCTGCAGTGTTCAGCAAGGAAGAGTAATAATGCTGAATTCAGCAAATTCTTTGTAAGGAGGGGCGCCCAGGGCAAAGCCACTGCAGGGCGGTCCCATTTCTTTAAAACCTGCCAGGAGAAACATGCTTAATGCCGGAATAACAAAGAGCACTAGTGATCCGCGCGTTTCTGTTCCTCAGTGACAATCTTAACAATTCGTAGAAGAATTATTATACAGTGAACTATCTTTCTGTTGTGAAATTACCGCAAAGTAAAAAACAAATCTTGAAGAACAGTAGTGTAACAGTACGAGTGTTGCGAATTTTCCGACTGAGTGGAGGACGTGCGACATTTATGACTCACGAAATCTTAATGACACTATTGCAAACAAACCATACCACAGGTTGGGTTAGAACCCACAATCAGAGAGCCATAAAATACAGCAAGCTGGCCCAGTGGCTAACACGTCGGTCTGGAGTTTTATGACTTTCTAATTGCGGGTTCTAACCCCACCCGTGGTATGGTTTCTTTGCAATCATGTCATTATGATGTGTTAAAAATATTGTTGCTGAAGTATAATACTACAGTGGAACTTCGGTTTACGAATGCCCCACCATGCTAATTTTTCAGGATACAAACAGTTGCTCGGTTGATTTTTTGCTTCTGGATGTCTGGTGTGCCTTGCGGCACTGTTACATTGGTACTGATTTCTCAGTTTACTTCACTGGTTCTCACTCACTGAGTGAGAGCAATTAGGTCAGTTGAGGGAGTTCGGGTCTCTCAGGTATCGTAGCATTGACCATCCCCCCAGGATGCGACCCACAACAGTTGACTAACACCCAGGTACCTATTTACTGCTAGGTGAACAGAGGCAACGGGTGTAAGGAGACTTGCCCATATGTCTCGCCCTGCCCGGGATTTGCTTCTGGATACGAACGAAATTTCAGGATGCAAACTTCCCCCTCAAGGGAGGTTTCTTGGTGAGGGGTTCTTGATCTAGGGAATTGGATCTGTGCTCCAGTTACCTAAATTAATAATAATAATAATAATTATATTATGTACGTACTACTAATAATAATAATCATAATAATACGTATAATAAAACAATGCTCACCAGTGCACGTGTAACGGAGCTTACCTCACAGTGGAAGGAATTCTCATGTTTTCCTTATGTTTCGTGTAAAGTGTAGCATTAAGAGTAGCAATTTAGTGTAGCATTAAGAGTAGCAATTTAGTGTAGCATTAAATGTGTAGCAATTAAGTTCAGCGATTAAGCGATAGAAAAAGGATGAAACGAAATGAACTCCTGACAGCATATGCCGCTCGGCCTATCTTTTCCACCATCAACCTTTGCCAGTATTTCTTCTCCAAGATAAATGGTGTATGTACACCAGTTTATTTCTACATTATGTTTTCCTTATGAAAGTAGTGATCTAATGCAGTCTCAAAAACTCCATTTTCTCTTATAATAACACCTCTGAAGGGGAAGCATGGCAAGACATATTTATAGCAGGAGCGAGAATGCCTGCGACCACTCCTCCACTGCCATCTCCACTGCCATCACCACTAGCCACATATGTAATGACATATTTTATTCATTCTAGTGTGTTTCTATATTTATTGTTTATTAGGTCATATCAGATGAATTGTGATAGATAAATAAGATGTAGAGTTGATATTAGCATCATATTAAAGTATTTTTGTCGTGCCTCCTGAAAGCAGGAATTCTGCCGGAATGGATTAATGGCATTTCAATTAATTTAAAAGAGGAAAATTGACTCAGCATCCGAACAAATCAGAATACAAACATGGTCATGGAACAGATTAAATTCCTAAGCCGAGGTTCCACTGTAATTTTTATTTTTTTGTTTTATTAACACATCGGCAGTTTCCCACCAAGGCAGAGCGGCCAAAAAAAGAAAAACTTTCACCATCATTCACTCCATCACTGTCTTACCATAGGTGTGCTTACACTACAGTTATAAAACTGCAACATTAGCATACCTCCTTCAGAGTGCAGGCACTGTACTTCCCATCTCCAAGACTCAAGTCCTGCCTGCCAGTTTCCCTGAATCCCTTCATAAATATTACCCTGCTCACACTCCAACACTATGTCAAGTCCTAAAAACTATTTGTCTCCATTCGCTCCTATCTAACATGCTCATGCATGCATGCTGGAAGTTCAAGCCCCTCGCACATAAAACCTCCTTTACCCCCTCCCTCCAACATTTCCTAGGCTGACCCCTACCCCGCCTTCCCTCCACTACAGATTTATACTATCAAAGTCATTCCAACCTCTCTGCATGTCCGAAATACAGCAACAACCCCTCCTCAGCCCTCTGGATAATAGTTTGGTAATCCCGTACCTCCTCCTAATTTACAAACTACGAATTCTCTGCATTATATTCACACCACACATTGCCCTCAGACATTTCCACTGCCTCCAGCTTTCTCCTTGCTGCAACACTCACCACCCATCCTTCACACTCACATAAGAGCGTTGGTATAACTATACAGTGTACTTTCATGCATTCCCCTCTTTGCTTCCATGGACAAAGTTCTTTCTTGAAATGGCCAAGAAAACACTTCTGTGGTTTGATTGTAAGGCCATGAGCTCTTAGTCCTTTTAAAACAAGCGACATTGTAGTAAGATGATCTTCCTAGATATGAGTCATGATGTAAATATTATCGAAATACATTGAAACATTCTTGAGGTCAGAAAGAACTGTCTCCACAGACTCTTCAGTGCACCAATCACCTTTCTCCCCTTGTCAATTATGATTCACCTTATCTTTCACAGACCCATCTGCTGACATGTCCACTCCTAAATATCTGAACGCATTCATCTCCACTATACTCTCCCCCACCAATCCGATATCGAAACTTTCTTTACCTAATTTTTTTTTTTTTATTATCCTCATCACCTTACTCTTCCCTATATTCAATTTTCTTCTTTTACATACTCTACCAAACTCATCCACCAACCTCTGCAACATCTATTCAGAATCTCCCAAAAGCAGTGTCATCAGCAAAGAGCAACTGTGACAACTCCCACTTTGTGTTAGATAATCTTTTAACCCAACACCTCTTGCAAACACCCAAGCATTCACTTCTCTTACAACCCCATCTATAAATATATTGAACAACTATGGTGACATCACATAGCCTTGTCTAAGGCCTACATTTTATTATTATTTTTTTTATTAACACATCGGCTGATTCCCATAAAGGCAGGGTGGCCCAAAAACGAAAAAATTTCATCATTCACTCCATCACTGTCTTGCCAGAGGGGTGCTTTACACTACAGTTATAAAACTGCAACATTAACACCTCTCCTTCAGAGTGTAGACAATGTACTTCCTGTCTC